GCGACGCCTCGGGCCGCAACAGCTGGTTTAGGTAGGGTTTAGGGTTTAGGGTTTAGGGTTTAGGGTTTAGGGTTTAGGGTTAGTTGGGACATGGTTTTATGAAAGTTGGGACATGGTTTTACGATGATCAGTGCTGGGATTGGGTATACTTTACCTCAAGGACATGAGGACATTACTGTTCCAGTTTTCTGTCTTCTACTTTAGGGTCTGCGGGTTTGGGGTTTTGGGGGTTAAGGAGTTATTCTAGAGGTTAGAGCTGACATGTTGAATGCTTGAGCCCGGATTCTTACCCAGCTGAGCCACGAAGATTCCACGCTTCGCAGGCCCAAAAAAGCGGCTACTCTGGGGCAGACTTCGAACTATGGAAAGCGGTTTCCTTCAAGACACAGGCGCGGAAGCCCGGCGAGTGTTTGCGTGTGTGGCCTTGATGAGTTCATGACCTGAAACCCACCCCAGGCCATGAACCCCAAACTCTGAACCCCAACTCCACGATCCCTAAACCCTCAACCCTTTAAATCCTAAACCCTCAACCCTTTAAATCCTGAACCCTCAACCCTTTAAATCCTAAACCCTCAACCCTTTAAATCCTAAACCCTCAACCATCTTAACCCTAAACCTCAGCACCCAAAGCCCCGAACATGGATTTCGGGGGTAGCTCGAGGGCCTTGCCCCCCTGACAAATAGGGTTTAGGGTTTAGGGTAATTATTGCTTTGATCATAATAATGGGAAGTCCACTGGTACCTGTCATGGAATGCTCACCAATTCTGGGCTGACATTATTCCTTAGGCCCCCTTGTCGTAATATTGCGTCCTGTACTACTATACCCGCAAAACACGGCTCTAACTGTTGAGGCCCCCTATACCAATTACACCCCTATAGTGACCCTTTAAGGACACTTTAACAGGAACCCCTTGTGTAATTCTTAAGGCCCGTTTGTTAACCCTAAACCCTAAACCCTAAACGCCTAAGCCTAAACCCTAAACCCTAAACCCCTAAACCCCTTTTCGCCCGTTGGGTTGAAGGTCAGGCTTCCGAGACTGATCCGGTTCCTTCTGACAGGCTGTCGGTACCGTTTAGGGAGTAGGTCTAGTTTTTTGGGGGTTTAGGGGTCCGGGAATGGGGCTTAGGATTTAGGGTTTCGGG